CGACGACGACGGCGCGAGGCTTGCTTTCTTCTTAACTCTTTAAGAGCTACAAGAAGAGCAATTATATATATACCCACCAAAAATGTCTTTCACTTCCAATATGGGACAATGTCTCATTGTTAAGAGGGGGAAACTTAAAATTTTACTCAAAATTTCATTTTCCCTCCATTTCTCATTCACCCTCATTTTAAGAATATTACATCTTAAAAATAAAACCTCAACAGCTAGCTGATTTAAGATTTTTCGATCAATTTGCACGCATTTCGACTAATCGACTGAGTATCGCTACTTGTCACTAGCACAGGTAGCGAATAATTCTGTCATAATGTTCTCATCTTATACACACATATACATATTATACATACACACGCACTAAAGTTCCAGCTTCTGCTACAAAATATTAATGAATGTTGCAGTAGTGCAGTACTATGCATTAACTGACTTGAAATTTTGCATTGCCTCTTGAGTTTCAATAGATAAATCATGTTAGTGAAAAAGAAAAGCATTGGCAAACTTTACCAAGTTTGGCCAAGACTAAGATAAAGGCTGACAACAAAAAATGAAGAGACTCCCACCTTCTTTGGTCTTGATGCTAGTTGCTGTGCAAGTGGAAGAATCAATGAGAGGCTTCAATACTTGGATTTTATTGTTTGTGAATTTTTAGGGAATTAATTTAGCTGAACGACCTCTTATTCTTTCTATAAATATTTAAAAGATGACAACCTCAACCTACTCGGAAAAAAAGTATATTATATGGGGCGATTATTAAAACCAGGACAAGATATTTCGAACGCTTGTTTGGTAAGTAAACACCAATAGAAACTTGCGTGTATAACTTGATATAAATCTCCACTCAATTTTAATATTAAAAACTTATGGCTATTTAAGTATTTGCCTTCTCTTAATTTTAATTTAAGTATCATATCATGATAATGACAATTTAAGTGCTAAAATGACAATTATTTTCAATTTAATATCATAAATAGTACTAGCATGGGAAAGAAATGGGAACCAATCAAATCAAAAGAATAGCTATCCAATTGTAGCTATTTCAATCCAAACATATAAAAGACAGAGTCACTATTGTTAATAAAGATACACCAATTAATCATATCTCTCTCAATTATGTACAACTTGGAAGGTAAGGCAAGGAGGTCCTTTTGGAGAAGACTTGACTTCACCAATTATCAAGATTTTAGAGGGACATTATTAGGCATTTTGTTTTGCTCTTGTCCCCAAATGAATCAAATTATACATCAATTCCAATCCAAACCCAACATATCTCCCCGTTTTCCCTCCCAAAACGCCAAACTATACCAAAAATATGGAACCAGCAGCAAATTACGTCCGTTCTTGAAAAGAAACAAGAAAAAGTAAATGAATGAATAACCCTCCTCTCTAAAAGGGTTTTTTGAGCAATTCTATTTTTCTCTCGAGTCTCGACAAGATAAGCCCGTGAATAGTGAAAGAGGAAAGGTAAAAGAATGTGGCATTTGATAGGATTACCGCAGTTGAAGCGTACCATTTCATCTATAGTAAAAAACATATACTTTTACTTAATTATATCTTCAACCAAATTAATAAATATAATGTGATTTTCATCTACAAATTTAATATATATTCTTGTTTTACTTCTTGACTACTTATAAGGTTAATTTTTTTAATTAGGTATAAACTCGGAGTGTATTTTCATCTACATCTAAATGATGTAAGTGTAATTGCAACCATTAATCTACAACTTCAATCACTCCCCAATAAAGCTATTAAAAATGAGTGGGAAAAAAAAGGACGGAAAATGAAACATTTACAATGACTGACAGCAGTTAATTCTCTCCTCACCACAGTAAAAACATCAAGAATTAACTCAAATGGCATCAAGAATGGAACTATGATTGAGAATCTTTGTGATTTTCATCGCCACTTTCACTACCTTGTTGCTGATTTTGATGGTGATGTTGCTCCAAATTCATACCCAAATCAATACCAGTACCCCTACTATTATATGCATTCATAGATGCTAACATTCCCAAGTTTGTTTCTGAAACACCCAACCCCAGCTGCTGAACCGGTTGTGGCTGTTGCAAAAACATTGATCCTAGATGAACCGGATTGAACCGGCCACCTCCCGATAACTCAAAACCACCAATTCTCTGCATGGTTGATGAGGTGCCTGGTACCATCCAGAAGGTGTTTCCGACGTTACCGGCCGCCGGCGCAACCGCCCACATAGCTGGAGCCGGTATGTAGCTAGAAGCATGTGATGAACCGGGTTTTGATTCTTCATCCGGTTCGTGAGCTTGACCTCCGGTTCTCTCCGGTTTAGTAGCTGATGGTAGTGATGTTGCTCCACTTGTATCTTCTCTATACCTCTTTTTCATGTAATTCTCACCTGGGTCTTGTCCATAACCGGTGTTTGAAAGCGGGTGGTGAAAACCCAACATAGTGGTGGCGCCCCCGTGAATGAAAAGCGGCGCAGACTTTGACGGCGGAGCTGAAATTGTAGTCCCACTGCTACGTAAAGACACGTTAAGAGTAGAGAAATTTGCAGGGATTGTACCTGTTCCCGTAGCTGCTATAATAGACGGTTCAGCTTGTTGCAAGAGCCACTCGATGGTTTCACCTTCAGACTTGTGACCCAGTTCTTTTGTGAGCTGAAAAACTCTGGCGGCGCATAAAGCTGGCATGCGTATGCGCCGCCCTCGACCGTCCACCTTAGTGTGACGGTCTTTGTATGGCTTCTTAACAACTTTGGTAGAAATCGAGTTGTTATTATTGTCGTTGCTATTATTGTTGTTGCTATCGTTTTGATTGTCGGAGAGACTGGTGCTGCCACCTTGGTTTTTGCTATTTGGCTCTCTAAATTCCATCTTGGAAAAGAAAGTTTGAAGGGGGTAGGTGGGTGGGTAGGGGAGAAGTGGGGTGAGAGAAGGGCCTAACAAAGATTTCTTGATATTTGAAACAATATCTGTCCAATTGGCTATTTGATGAATTGGAAACACAATTACAAGAAAGAAAAGGACTAGGAAATGGGGAATGAAATAATCAAGTAGTTGCTGCAAGTAGTGCAAAGACTATTGACCCAAAAACAGCACAAGTGAAAGTAGTGGGGTTTCTCTTTATTTCTTTCACTTTAGTTTTACTTTGTGGAATTGGAGAAGAAGAGTAGGTGTGGGTGCCTACCAAAAGAGAATCATCGATGAGTATAAGTGTAGCTGGTGAAGGAGGTGTGGTAGGGGTGGGGGGGTGTGGGGCTAAGGGTTGGGGTCCAATGCAAAGTCAGTGGTGGCAGGGCAGGTGGGGGACCTGTAAAGTTAAGAAGAAAGTAGTGATAAATTTTGCAGAAGCTAATAAGGGAAAAGCCCACTCGTGGGGTCTCTTTGTTAGCAATGCTAGTAGAATTTAAGTGGGCGTTTCTACGTAAGAATTATAAAATAAAAAAAATGAACTTTTTTATAATGATACTTTAAAATTAGAGTTGTGTGTTGATATAAATATAATTTTGAATTGTTTTTAATTTATTATGAGTGATCTGAGTGAAAATTTTGAAAAATAGTTTTTTGGAGTTTTTTGAATTTTCGAAAAAATCCAAAATTCATTTTCAAGTGAAAATTAAAAATTTTATGGTCAAAGTCTCGAAAAATGTAAAAGAAATTCTAAAAAAGGTGAAAAAATTCTTATGTCCGAACGGGCTCTAAGTTTTTCCCTTTTTGGTTTTCATGTGGTGTTCGATATCTACTTCAGGGATCAAATAAATATAAATTTGCGCCGAAAAATTACTCATTAGGGGTAAAGTGTTCCTTAACAAATACTCAAAGCTTCCTAACTAGATCTGGTTAGGATGATGAGTGCTTAACATTCAATAACAACCTTTGTATGTAGAATTTAAGTTATATATGCTAGCTCTAGACTTATTATAGTTAATCTTAGAAATTTTACATACATTGTTATTGTAACGGAGTAAGTTTACAAAGAGTATATTGTTATAAAGATGACTGTTGTTATTATAGGTAAAAAAAATATATTGTACAGAAGTAAAATATAATATAAAAAATTAGTTTCTAGAAAAATTTGACTTTTATAGTAAAATCCTGTTATATAGGGATACAATTATAAAGAGGTATGACCGTGAAGAGTTCTTTACCTACCCCTCAAACATGAAAACCCTATTTGTATACGTGTGTATGTGTGTGTATTGCATATATAAACATACGTATGCATTTATACAACTTAAATACAGTAAAATCTCTAGAAGAAGACTGAATATTTGCATGTGTTTGCGACCACAAAATCTGAAAGACAAAGAACTCTTCTTTGATGCTGATATGACACTATTGTTGTAGTTGTCACAAAGCAAAACTTACCACTCCTTTGTCCCCACCCTAGTAGAAAAATTCTTTATATACAAAATGTGCGTATGGTTTCAAGTCATCTTAGTATAAAATTTTCATGCATTTATTGGTGAGCAACAATATAATTAACACTATCAAATCAACTATAGGTAATTGTATATATACACAGATTTTGTAACTCAATAAAGATGCTAAAAAAATCTATTACAACTAGTCAAACTATAATAATATACTAGCTACTGTAAAAAAACGTTTATACTCGATCAGTGTATACAACTGTTTTTTCTTTCTATTTTTTTTTCTTTAATGCCCATAATTAGTACTAATAAATGTATCAAACTATCAACCACCCAGATCTTACCCCTTCAAGCTCACCTGACATTCAACATTAAGGAAAGTCAGAGAAAGGGGCCAGAAGAAATACTGCTCTGAAGAGGTAAAATAAAGGAGAAAGAGAAATGTCAAATTTGTTTTTGTGGGGGTGGGGGATTAGGGGGTGGATTGATGTGTAAACTAAGGAGTACAAAGAAATTTAAGATATATTCACTGGCATTATAGATAATTTGTACATTATTAATCTAATTAGCTTGTTATATCAAGTTCTTACTGATATATTTTCTACATTAGCATATCAAAAGTTATATGTCCTTGTGAATCAATTTTATCCAACAATGTGAAAAAAATGTAAATATTATCACTTCACACAACTTTAAACTCACAAATAAGGATTGGATTCATTTAAGAAGGGTTGATTTTAGAGGTATGAAAGGGATAGAAAGCTCAAGTGAGAGCATCTAATCCTAACAATGAAACACAGCTCATCACAACTCAACCCCACTTCCCCTACCTCACTTTATTACAGCATACTCTTTAAGACTAAATTTTATCTTTTTTTTTTAATTAAATCAAACCAACTAGTATCTGTTTAATTTACTTAATGCACTTACAAGACACCCTGATTTACAAAGCTTTGTATTTATGCATGGTCCAAGGAAGGACTTCATCCTAAGGATGTAATGTAGACAATCTATACTAATTAGTGGATACTTCCACAGCTCGAATCTGTGACCTATAGGTGACATGAAGACATCGTTCCAAGCCCACTTCATTTTTCTTTTTCATTACTTTGGGTTCTTGTTTCAGAATTTAAAACTGCTAATTAATACAGCAGCTATAGCCACTCACTCCAACTCATCCCACTTCTTAGATGTGATTATCTGATATTTATGTAATTAATAGCTTGTATTTACTTTCAATTTCATGCTAACTTACGAATTATGAATGAAACACAAATCAGGATTTATTTATTTTTATTTCATGCAACATTTTAAATTAACATGTAATTAATTATTAATACATCTCAAATATTTTATCTTTAGTTTGATTCGATAATTCACAAGTCATATGTATCACGGACCCGTGGTGTTTGGTTTCAAACTTTTGAGAGAGTTTTCTTTAGTTTTTTTTCGCAAACTCTTTTTCAACCTGATTTTCGGAGACCAGTTTTTTATAAAATTTTCAAGTGCTAATGCTAGTAAAGTGGTGGCTTGGCATTTGAAAAGAAAGAAGAAATCATCAAGAATTAATTAGCTTTGTAACACAAGAATTCATCCCCCATAGAATCATTTCTTAGATGGAATTTAAGATAAGCAACCATGTTTCACTATCTTTCTCATGGTAAGTCACTTTCTTTTGCAGCCTAATTAGTCAAAGATGAAGTGAAGGTTAAGACCAGTGGATGAGTGAGTAAAGAGTATTCCTCACTACTCTTGACTTGAACGATATAATTTTATTTACTTAAACTAAATTTGTATCTATTGCCACAAAGTAATAGTTGGTGCCATAGACCGCCTTTACACGATAATGTTAGTCTCCTAAGGAAAAAGACAGCAAGTGAGAGAAAAAAAAAATAGCTCGATATACAAAGTATTTCATATTCCCGCATGATTCGGGAAGGGTCGTACCCCAAGAGGTGTGATGCAAGCATAAATGACTGATTTCACGGTTGAAACCTATGACTTGTAGATTACACGCAAGACAACTTTATTATTGGTCCAAGACTTCATCACGTTGAACTAAATTGAATTTTTTTAAATGGCTAGAATTACCTTATGTAAAGAGAGAGTTTCCATTCCGACTAAACCAAAGGTGGTGTAACCTATATGATGGAGTTGTCACCTTATTGGGGTTCTCTTTCTATTTTCAAAATTAACTTAGCTACAGCAACTTTTCTGTACAAGCAAAAACAGTTTAAAAAAGGGAAGAAAAAGGAATATCCTTTTCTCTTTTTACCTGGAAAGGACTTCTCAAACCCTATAGGCAAAGACCTTTCAACTTGTCTCCAAATTAAGAGACTCATAAAGTTTCTTGTAGCAAGCACACAAGCCATCTTAGTAACTTAAACCATAGCTACCATACCACATGAATTTGTCGATGTAAATTAAAGTGAAAATACATATTAATTAATCATAGTTAAGTAATATAAGTGTATCTAAAGGTACATGCCTAATATTCATGTGGATTGAAGTAAACACCGAATGTAGGTAAGTATTTTCCGAGTTTCTTACTGCCAACACCGATTGTGGGCAAGTATTTTCCGAGTTTCTTACTGTCCCTCGAATTTGTTGCAATGTTGCCTCATCCAATGAAGATGAATAAAAGGCTGCTAGTATATGTTGGAAAAGGACAAGTTCCTTTTGTAAGAAAAATTACAAGGTCCAAACACTACCTTTCTGCACAAATTACACAACACTATGTTGGTGAACACTAGCCTTGCTCTCTGTAGGATCAGACTCCTAAATTATGTTTACAGTGACCGCTTATCCTTTATAGAGAATAGTTGAACGTGATCAATGAATTGTCTGAAGCCAAAGGAAGAAAAAACTCAGATAAGAAGAGCAAATTAGGTAGAACTAATTTTCCAAGCTCAAGCCTCAAAGAGGAAGAACAGGATAATTTCAGGCTATCTTATCCAGAAAATTTCAAGGAGGTGCAGATCTAAATTTCTTTTCTTCTCTAAGTAACAGAGGCTGCATAAGTTCAATCTTGAATAAATTTTATACGAGCATCCAGCAAACTAGCTGTATAAATAAACATATGAGTGAAACTTTTTCCTACTTTTAGTGCTTCACTTCTTTGCTTTTGCAAATCTCAGACAACGGTACTTCTCCCCACTAACTGTTATCTCAAGAGCTCCATCTTGATTGTCTTGATTAGATGCAGTTCCCATTAGCACACTTTTCTCTTTCTCAAGGTTTTCCCTCTCCATCTTTAACCGGGCTTCTTGCCGAGCAATTTCTGCCTGGGATCAAAAGTGTGACATGTTACAAATCCTCAAGGGAACATCATTTATCATAAAGGTAGATACTTAACTCATATTTGCAACTGTTACAAAATCTAAACAACACAAGACGACCATATATTTCCTTCTTCGACTAATGTATGTTTCTGCACTGAACTTTAAACTCATATAAATAGACCCTGTTGTGAATGTTGAGCATGTTATCATTCATTAGACCATCTTTCTAGGGAACTTGGAGCCTCTAATTCCATATTTGAGATTTATAGGTGACACAGAGCAAGTAAAAGTAACTATTGTTGGAACAGCTTACCAGCAGTAGTAGTAAGCAAAATGTAATAGTTACCTTAATTGCGAAAATTTCAGCATTTACACATGTCTCAGTTCTCATTATTCTGAAAATGATCTATATTATTGCTACATTTGGAAGTCAATTGTTGGCAAAAGCTACATGGCCAACATTCAAATTGTCACATCCAATCAGAATGTGGGATTTTTCTAAGCTCCGGAAATGGTCACTGCCAAATGGCACAGAGAATCACTACTGATAAAGATCCATCCTCTATAAAACTTGATGAACGGAAGGCATCTTTGGGCAGATTAATTTTGAAATAAAATATAGTGGAATGGCTAGCAGACAGTTATGCAGCATGCAATTAGAATTTTCATAACTGTCTTCTTGTCAAAAAGATGTAGGGCTGTGTGGTGTTCAAGAGGAAGTATGTAGTCTTTGAAATGGGAAACCTGAATACCCATTCAATTTTGCACTCAACAGTAGTAAAGCAGCAACAGCAAACACATTGATTTCATACAAAACAATTTCGACTTCTAATACATGCGGCTCCAAAGGAGGCTCCATGGTCACATATTACAGTATCATGCATTCCATCAAGTTTCCATATGAGCTGTAGACTCGGAAGGCCTTTAATATTGGTTAAAAATAAGATAATGACATGCAATATGAAGGGGCGCATATGATCCCTTAATCGCCTCGACAGATACCACAAATCTGCCAACCCTATTTAATCTCTTGAATAATAGCACATACAGGGATGACTTGTGCAAGCTAGAACTTCGTAAAATATCTATCTGATTGCTCCAATATGATAATCTTGTAAATTATGAGATCGACACAAAGGCACTATACATTGCGTACACATATAAGTGAGAGAAGGCGTTTTCCAGAGTCACATCACTCTGGAAGTCCTAGAGTCTGAAGGCCATTGTGTGCAAGTGCATGATAAGTATTTCTTGTGAGGGGATACATTTAATGGAGCTAGCTGAATCATTTCTATCTTCTTGAGTCCTAATGCAAGCAAGTTTTAAGTGGAACTTCTGTAGAATTACTGCTGAATGTGGGAAGCACCTGTTCTTTTACAGATCAAAACCAAGGATTCAACTTGCATTTCCCCAAAACAAAATCACTGAGAAATAATTTCTGATTCAACTCCAGGGGTTAATGTGTTAGCTACCATATTTGAAATGACACTCAGCTGGCCTTTATAGAGAAATATTTGCAACAACGCTAGCACAAATTCTACAACCTTAGTATACACGGTCTAATTATTGCAAAAATCCTACTGGCTAGTCTTTAATATTAAGATCAACCTTAGACTACATAGATTCTCTTAATTCATTTAAGAAACAAAACATGTTGCTGAGACCCTGGTAAGTAAATTAGGTTATAAACCCTCAGTTAAATAGATAATCTATGATACAAAATGACCAGAGGTAAAATTAAGCAAGGGCTATCCTCTCATTTATGTTGCTATTTGATATGCCAGTAGCACCATTTAGCTTGTACATCATCAAGTCCAATCTATACTGTTACGCTTATCCAATGCTTGTAAGTTTGTAACAAGGATTCTTTAACCATATTAGGTGAGTGTAAACCTGGTTGGCTAGCCCGGGTAGTAGGTTGCTTAGCCAACCTTTTAAACCACATGAAATTCCAAGAAAACTGGCTTTGCATATTCACATTAAGAGGTCGACAAGTATCCTTTTAACATGATGGAGTAAATTTGTCATTTCATTTCATTCATTCCATTGAAGGGTCTACCACTCTCCTATAAATAAATGAAAATCTCACTTATGAATTAAAGAAAAACAATAAATGCTACATGTCCTGTACTATATCCCTCCAGCGTTAGTTATAAAAAAAAAGGTTCTTCCATTTTTCTCAAGCATAATATGAAAGGAATTATAAACTAATCAATATATTCCATTCAATCAACCAATCATCAATAGATCAACAATGCCTCAATCCTAAACTAGTAGGATTAGATAAATGAACATTATGTGTCCATTCTACTCTATTCGGGCTTATTTCATTCCACTACTAGTACGTACTGTGTTTTCAGGCAAAATCGGAATTTCTCTAAAACTAGAGGTTCTCTTATTTGTACTTATACAATACTGACATACACGTCTCCAGACAAACTACAAAGACATTTGACAAACATCTGATCTGATGTAAGTACAACAACAACTAAGCATTAGTCTCAACTAGTTGGTACAGTCTATGTGAGTCCTTTGTTCCATTATGTTCTATTAATACTAAGTCTGCATTAATTCGGATAAACTATAGGTCTTTTAAATTAACTTTTCTCCATGTGATTTTAAAACTAATTCATCCCCATTTAGCACATATTGGTCTTCATAGGAGTTAGGACAGGGCGAAACCTACTCATCCTATACTGTGTTCCTTCTATTTTAGTAATCAAAAATAAAGAAAAAATGTTCTCCATTTTTTCAAGCACACTTCGAAGTAATCTAACAAATCTATTCCATTTCTCAGGGGGAAAAAATGTATTCACAAAAATTACTGCACTTGCAATCAGCAGCTAACTTTGAGTAATTCAGTCAATTGAACAAAATGGAATCTTTAAAAGACAATCACACTAGCCCGTTTGGACATAAGAAATTTTTCCCTTATTTCCAGAAAATTTTGCTTTTTTCGAATTACACGTTTGTTCATAAAATTTCCAATTTTCACTTGAAGATGCATTTTGAAAATTTTCGAAAATTTAAAAACTCAAAAAACCTATTTTTCAAAATTTTCGCTCAAATCACTCACAAAACTTCAAAAACAACCCAAAATTATATTATGTCTAAACACAACTCTATAAATTTCAAATAACATTTTCACTTGAAAAAAATTTTCCCCCTATTTTGGAATTTTACAATTCTTATGTAAAATTCCCCACTTGCAATCTTCAGTATATTTTGAGAAATTCACTCAAACCCAATTCAAGAAACACCAAAATAAGTTCAAAAAACTAAGCTTTTCAAAGAAAGAATGGATTTGTTTGGGGGGGGGGGGGT